CTTTGCGCGAAATTCCAAACAAACAAAGTAATGGTTTAAATATTCTCTTGTTTTCATCTGTTCTTACTGTTGATGGAAATTGTATGTACATGAACTTCCCAGCATAACCTTACATTTTCGTTTCCTCTTTCGAAGTTTTCTGATTGACCTTCGATTCTTTAAACATGACAACATACGTATACATCTGTAAACACACACCTGTTATTCATTAGTCGACCTTCGAGATAACCGTACTCAGCAGAAATCGTAAACGCACGCAGAAGCGCGTCCAAAGAGGTCCGTGCTCTAAGCTCGGATCACTGAGTCACGTAATTCGACAAAATTATTGTGTGGAGGGTGGGGCACTCTTTCTACACCCCTACGTGAAAAGACGCTATTACCTGTATACCATAAACTGTAAGTTTGACAAGGATTATATTGAAACGCGAGCCACTCTTGTAAAGAACGTTAAGAAATAATAAGGTACTATCTGTTAAAAACGAAACCATTTGATATGTCAAGGTAATTATAAAACTACCTCGTTCAAATATGATTAGTAATCTTCAGACTGGAGCAGTAAAAAAGTAGTTCCTTCTCGCGCAATAATTTAGTTATCGTTAACATCCAGTATGAAATAGTAGACCTACATAAGAAGCTAAATCTGACAGGGAAGACAAATAGGCCTGGTGTACTAACTTATCGACCTGTTTCTCGGCCGCCTTCACTGGCTGTTGTTAATATGTACTGATGAGAACGTGGACTTTCCTTGGCAGTGGCTTTCTTTCTCCAGTCAAGGATGTATTTTTTTTATTAGTGTGAAAGTGAGTTATATGTAACTTGTTTTACAATGTTGCACTCTTACAATATTGCCTTCTTTTTTCATTGACAAACTCTGTGTTATAATTTAGCTTTCAGCAATGTCGGCGAGCTTGTTTTCACGATTTAATTTTTATTTCAGACCCTAAAGATGTCTGATGGAGGTGCGTGAAGAAGAACCAGAAATCTGACCATGACTGTCCACAGTGGTTCTGGTTATGCTGGTCAAGAGCATGTGAACGACGGGTTCCATGTGCGCTACCTCGGAAGTGTCCATTTTCCGAACCAAACAAAAAAAGTTAACATTAAGAGCTTACAGAGACCCTTACTTGACCTATACACTAAGGCCAGAAGGAGAGGTGAGGACCACCGTGGTGTCCATTCTTTAGCTTTGACACAGCATCTCCACCTCTCCGATTATGGCCTGGTGGTGGCCGAGAACGAGGAGAACGTGAAGACGAGGTGCCAGGAAGCCGTGGTCATAAAAGTAATCACTCCAGTGGCCGGACTTATCCTTTGGACCGCAGTCCGGTTCCACACTAGAATATTAAAGAGAAGAAAGCCTGGAGCTGCCTTTGTTCCCTTAGCTTGTTCAGATACTGTGTTTGAAAAAGATTGTTACGTCCAACTTACAGAGAAACGTCGATTTCTGATGGGTTTAACGCATCCTCCGCTCTTTGCTTGCCTTTTTCGTCGTGTGGGGTCGCCACAGTTTGTGGAGTGCCACGCTTTTGTGTGTTTCAACATTGAAGACGCCATGATAATCTGTTCCTCGTTGGATAGTATTAAAAATACGTGTGAAGGAACCGGTCCATTAGGTCTTCTTCTGGAAGATGGAAGCACTAATCCGACTTTGGATACGTCACGAAAATGTTCTAACAAACTAAACGTTGTCGTTCCCGAACTATCATTCATCAGCCATTCTAGAGAAGACAACGATAAAAAGGCGGATCACATGAACAATCGGACAAATACAACAGCTTTTAAAAGGTATCGTGAAAACAAAGCAAGAGGGATTCCTGATTCCAACATCAAATATGGTCCCCAAGGAGGAAGAGTAGTTTCCATTGCTCGTCATCATGGAAGAAGGGAATATGAAGAAGAATACAATAGGAGTAAGTCTTGTGAAAGGTTAGAAAATATCAATGCATTTAAGGCTCAGAATAAGAGAAGCAAATCGTGTGGTAGATTAGTTGACGGCCATTTTCCATCAGTATATCGAAGGAAGGAACCCTTCTCCAACAGTGTTTACAGAAACTCCTCAACCTCTTTATCAGACCAAGAAAGAAGTTGCGATGACACGAATGTGGTCAAGAGGGGAAATCACTTTACCAGATCTAAATCTGTCAGTAAAATCTGCCAAATCAACGACAGTTCCTCATCTGAAAATACCAGAAATATTCCTAAAACCAACATTCGTGACAGAAACATAACTAAAATGAAACGTTTCCATTCATGTAATAAATTAGAGAATGGTTTCTCGTCATCACCAAATTCATCTGAAATACATTACTTTAAACCCGAGACTCAAGTAAACACAGGACATTTTAATATTAATTCTTCTACTTCGCGATACAGTAATAACGATATCCCTGTTTATTACAACAACCATGGACTACCTGAACACGCTAGAAAGGAGGTGGGTTCTAAACAAGATGCCGAGGACATATCTATGCAAATAAAAGCTAAGAAAACTGCAAACTTGGATGTATCTCTTCTACCTGAAGAGGAACGAAAGTACATTTGGCAAACGATACAACAGCGCACTGCTTTTCACAGAAGAAACCTTAAAAATAGCTCACCAGAGAAATACAGTAACAAACTATCTTATCCTTCCCAAGAAGGTACCGTGCAGGAGATTTCAATGAAAACTGTAGACAGTAAGAAAAACTCGGTAACACCTGCCCAAAAAACAAATGTGGAGAACGAAGTTGATTCCCAGTATTCGACTGACACTACGGTAGAGGGTTATAGGTTGGATCACCGACACAGAAGTTATGGAGACAGGAAAACTGGCATGGATTCGAGACTGGAGAGGTTCACTAGTAGCGATGGCAGCGATTACTACAGCCATCTCTCGGACGAGAGGGAATGTCCCAAAGAGAGATCTTGCAAAATAAATGGCATTCAAATACCAATTAATAAAACAAGAGATAATTCTGATTCGCAAAATATGTATGATCCAAGAGCTTCTATGCAAGATGAACGTTTTGATGAGAGTCAGATAAGGATACCGTGTAAGGAAGAAATGGAACTGTCTAAGACAATGAGTTTTAGCAGTGAAAGTGAGTATTCTTATTCTAGTGCCGAGAGTAACAACAAAGAACAAGTAAATGAAGTCTTGATAAATGGTAGACTAATCACAGGTCATGGAGAATACCATGTAAACCCTCAGTGGGAGCACGGGAAAGAAGATAGTGAACTACAGAATCGTCATTCGGAGCAACATTTATATGTAAGACAGAGCGCGGTTGAGAAGACTAAACACAAAACACCAGGAAATAAAAATTGGCCCAACTTAAACAGTGGCGAGAATAGAAAACTTACGATAAAGGTGCCTTATCAGAGAAATTCCTTGATTGAACGAAACGATTTGATGCCAAACGGAAAAACATATTTTTTACCGCACGGGGTCCGTTCGTACAACAAATTTAACAAAGTAAAAAACTGGTCCACTCTAAGTGAGGTGTCCAATTCTACCAATCAGGACACTGCAATTTATGGGGGGGTGACAACATTGCCGATCACTAGGACGTCCAAACGCCACCACAAGTCCATACGCTTTTCATCTGATGTCAATCTTCAGAGAAGGTCCAATTTTCTTAAGAACCTAAAGAGATTTAGTGTAAACTCCTTCAATCGTGCCAAGAATAAATTAAACAGCTTGAAATCTAAAGTGAAAAATCACAAAAGTAAACAAGACTCGGACCTCTCAGAGGACTCTGCTTATGATACGTCAGAGGTATGTCACAATCCTCAAGGGAACAGAGTCATCGAAACAAGGAAAAAGCAGAAGGGTCAGCGCTCCCTGAGTTACCAAGACCTGAGTCCTTCCAACTCGCCATTTAAGTACTCCTTAAAACTTCAGAAAGATTGTGAACGTAGAAAACCAACCTTAAGAAGTTCCTCCCCTCATAATATCACATATAAGGACAAAAGAATAAAGACGCACCCAAAAACACGTCATGGTGTTAAATGTGAGGGGTCTTCTGATTCCGGCGTGGAAGAAAATAGTTCAGATTCTTCAGAGGGTGTCATCCATTATTCAACCACTTTGCATCCAGAATTGAAACCAGAAGTGGCCTTAGTTAATGGGGTGAACGAGGGGAAGTTTCGTCATTGGTCTTACACGAGCCTGCAAGATGAACTTGGTTACATGCCTTAAATAAGTGGCTTAATCCTTTTAGTCTGTTTGTAGTCTTGCTGGCAATCAACTGTGACAGAAATAGTGTTAATCACGCGGTTTTTTCAACACAGATTTACTCACATGTTGAGTTGGTTTATTGTTGATATTTGGTTTTTGTAAAACAACAGGACACCCTTTTTTTTGTAGTATAGGAGGAGAAACCCCACATTTAGAAATATGACAGTTTTTGCTTGTCGTTAGACCTAGAAATGAAATTCTCGAAACATTTTCTTTTTGACTTCCGTAAGTATGACTTAAAGTTAATTATTTTAAGTATTCATCTTCAGAAATTCATTAAAATAAACAAAAAAGCATTTAGAAAACTGACTTCTGAAAGATGTGCTTCTCTGATGCACAGAATTAAGACGTATACACCATGTTTAATTTACGCAACTTTGTGTTATCCTTAGACAAGTGTAATAACATAACATTTGTGTAATGTGTATTGATTATTTTATGTTTTCACGAGACACTATTTCGTACTTGACTGTAAATTAATGTTTCTTAGATTCTAAATCACTTAAAACAATGAAAATGAAATTTTGAGTCAAACGCTCGTGCGAATTTCTTTTTTTTGGAGGGGGGAGAATATAATGTTTTCAGGCCTATAATTAGTTGTTAGTATTAATAATTCGTATTATTTTTATCAGCCAATATTTCACTTTATGCATTTGAAAATCGTAACACGTGTGAATTCACGTATACTAGTATAATATAATAACAGTTTGGGAGAGGTTAACAAAGTTGTATTGTTAGATATTGTAATGTAATGTAGTGCGTTTTTGTTTTGAGCTTATATATATATATTGTTATAATATTTTTAGTTGTGACTTGAATTTTTTATAGTCTTGAAATTTAAGAATAACATCTACCTATTATTTCTGGATATTAATTTTAAAAACATACTTCTAACCAAGGTTTCATATCTTTCTCGTATTAAAATGACTTTCCAGACATATTATGTTCCTCGTTGTTTTTTTTTCCTTCGGTCACAACTACACAATGTATTAACTTCGATGTCTCATCTGCGGGGATCAAGCCCAGAATTTCTGAGCTATAAGCCGTCAAGTTTACCACTGAACCACCGGGGGACATGCAATCAATTGTATTATCAGTTAAAACCTTTATTTCTGCTTATGACACGGGGAATTAGTTGTTTTTTTATATATATATAACTGTTTTGCTTTTTATGATTGTTGTTTGTTATTAAGCACAAAGCTACACAATGGGCTGGCTATCTGTGCTCTGCCCACCACGGGTATCGAAACTCGGTTTCTAGCGATATAAGTCCGCAGACATACCGCTGTGCAACAGTTGGGGGGGAGGCTTTGCTTTTTATAAAATGAAAAACTGATAACAGCGCTTCGAGAACATAGACCTTAGTTACAAGATTAGGAAGTGTCTTATTTTGAGATTCAATGTTTTATGTTGGTAACGCATGAATGTAAAATATTGATACGTTTCTCACATTACCACAAATTACGTGAACAAATAACGCCAGTAATTTATTAAACTTGGGTACGTGAATTTTAAATGTTCCAAAAACTTCGAACTGTTTTTTTTTCTGTTCTTTTTGACAACTGGTTTTACATTCTTTGAAGAAATTCAAAACTGAACAGCAAAAAAAAAATAAAAGACCCGATTGAAAAATAAATATTTAAAAGCAGCTTTAGCATAAGTTAGGGTAATCTTATTTTGCCTTTATTAGTGCGGCCCGACATGGCTAGGTGGTTAGGGCACTCGACTCGCCATCTGAGGGTCGCGGGTTCGAATCCCCGTCACACCAAACAAGCTCGCCCTTTCAGCCATGGGGGCGTTAAAAAAAAGTGATGGTCAATCCCACTATTCGTTGGTAAAAGAGTAGCCCAAGAGTTGGCGGTGGGTGGTGATGACTAGCTGCCTTCCCTCTAGTCTTACACTGCTAAATCAGGGACGGCTAGCGCAGATAGCCCTCGTGTAGCTTTGCGCGAAATTCAAAAACAAACAAAGTCTATATTAGTAAGTTAGACTTTCATATGTACTCCAAGAAAATAATTTTCTGGACACCTGTAGCATTACGGAAACCCCTACAATCTGATAATGCAATGACTCAGTACTTCTCTGTATTACATGCATTTTATCGCACCACGCAACGAAAACAACGCGAAAATTTCGCGCTTTAAATGAGCGACGAACTGACGATGATAGTTTTCCTTCTTCAACAATACTCTCGTCAAGAGTTATCGTTCCGTTTTAGATTACTGTTACGACGCCGTTTGACTGTCGGGTCCCTCTTGTCTTTGTTTGATAATTGCGAAGGGGTGTGTATAATATAATTAACCTTATTAAGTACAGTACCAGTCCGGCTATGACAAGCAATTACGTTTGTAATATCGATGTACGTTCCATCTCAGTAGCTCTCGAGATTCCAAGTAGTATCCTTGACACAATAAAAACAATAATGAATTAATCATTCATGTACACAAAAGTTATAACCAACCACAAAGTGGGTGCCTACTTTAATCTTTATTCTTTACTGACAGTGGTAGTAAAACATAGTTCCGGTTTCAAACGGTGGTTGTTAAACAATTTAATAATGACAGTGTAGTTAACCTAAAATAGTGAGAAACACAAGAGAAAAATGTTTCATTAATTTTCTGTTTTGGGTTTCACGGTTCCTGATTATTTGTGTCAAATACAACTAATAATTAAACAAGTCCGAACTAAAAAAAAATGGTTAAATATAGTAGGTATTTTAACAGAAGCTATATGAATAACATTAATATTCAAAGATATTGACATATATTTGTAAACACGTGAACTGGGACGCTTGTATTGTTGTATTCTGATAACTTGGTGTTTCTTTGTTTTTTAAACGTTTTAGTTTAAGTATTGTTTTAACTGTGGGATGTTATTATTGTTTTACGTTTAAGACACCTCTGTTGTTTTATTTGTTTGTTTTGTTTTTATGAATTTCGCGCAAAGCTACACGAGGGCTATCTGCGCTACTCGTTCCTAATTTAGCAGTGTAAGACTAGAGGGAAGGCAGCTAGTCATCACCACCCACCGCCAACTCTTGGGCTACTCTTTTACCAACGAATAGTGAGATTGACCGTCACATTATAACGCCCCCACGGCTGAAAGGGCGAGCATGTTTGGTGTGACAGGGATTCGAACCCGCGACCCTCAGATTGCGAGTCGAGTGCCTTAACCACCTGGCCATGCCGGGCCCTGTTGTTTTATGTATGGAAAATTATTACTGTTTTACGTTTAAGACGAATGAGTGTATTGTTTTAAGTATGGAACGTTATTATTGTTTTACGTTTAAGACGAACGTAAGTATTGTTTAAACTATGGGACATTGCAATTTGTTTTACGTTTAAGGCGTCTATATGTTTTAATTTTAAAGTTGCCATGATTTGCTTCTGATAACCATTCATAACCATCAACGGAATCACGTGAAACATTACACCACGTGGTTTTAACATACTTTGCTTCGTCAGCTTTGCTCTTTAAAATCGCCAAACACCTGTTTGCATGCTTATAAAGATTCGTCATTTTTATATTTATTTACACATAGAGTGTCATCTACTAAAACCTAGCGACATTATCTCAGAAGGTTTCTAAACACAAGTTCTGCGTTGTGCGTACTTCATTATCCAGCTTAGTTGTTGTTGTTGTCGTCATTCTGAGCTCAGGAAACTTCTCAAAGTTTGTCATTCATTAGTATTGTTGTCATTCTCTCTAAGCAGGCTTAAGAAATTTCTCAAGGTTTGTCATTCATTAGTATTGTTGTCATTCTTTCTAAGCAGGCTTAGGAAACTTCAAGGTTTGTCATTCTTTAGTATTGTTGTCGTTCTTTCTAAGCAGGCTTAGGAAACTTATCAAAGTTTGTCATTCATTAGTATTTCATTCTCTCTAAGCAGGCTTAAGAAACTTCACAAGATTTGTCATTCATTAGTATTGTTGTCATTCTTTCTAAGCAGGCTTAGGAAACTTCAAGGTTTGTCATTCCTTAGTATTGTTGTCATTCTTTCTAAGCAGGCTTAGGAAACTTGTCAAGGTTTGTCATTCATTAGTATTGTTGTCATTCTTTCTAAGCAGGCTTAAGAAACTTCTCAAGGTTTGTCATTCATTAGTATTGTTGTCATTCTTTCTAAGCAGGCTTAGGAAACTTCAAGGTTTGTAATTCGTTAGTGGTATTGTTATTCTTAACAGGCCTAGGAAAGTTTTCAGAGTTTATCACCTATAGATCTCCAACATTACTATTATTTACTCTTTATCTCGGTTTTATTTACTCTTGAAACAGAACACTTTTGGGGATCTAGTAAGTATATATATATATATATATTTATTAATAATGTTTCTCCGCAGGAATGGCGAGTTGTCAGGATTGTAAAGTTGTTCTCTGTGGGAAGTTGATCTGGGTTTTCCAGTATAAAGGACTTGCGGAGTCACTAAGATTAGATAACGTTTGTTTGTTATTTTTGTTGTTTCCTGGATATGAAAAAAATCCCCTGAGGGTCATGACTTCTAATATTCAAGTTTTTTTCTTGTTTTTTGCCAACTAATAGGGTAGTCTGGCAACTGTATCACACGTATTACCAATACAAAATACGTGAACGATATGCCCCATTTCCTAGGATGATTCAAAATTGAGGCCCCCCTTCTTTGGGGATCGCGGGCCCCATTCAATTACATGGGTTGCACCCCCTTTAAATCCGGAACTGGATATGTGGTCTTTAAAGACATATAAATGTTTTGGCGAAAAGGACGGCTTAACCTTAACCTTATTCTAAGTTAAACTTGGAAGTAAAATTACTTAGCCAGTTTTAATATTTTTCAATTGATACCCCCATTTGCTGAGGAAACGAAGAATGGAGAAAGGGGGGTTAATCTGCAACAGTGATGACTTTTTGTTTTTTGTTTTTCTTATTTGCTGCTGGAAAAATTGTGGATTGTTTTAAGTAATGAATCATTGGATGAAATTTGGTTTGGGTTTTGTTTTGAATTTCGGGGATAACTACACGAGGACTATCTACGCTAGCCGTCCCTAATTTAGCAGTGTAAGACTAGAGGGAAGGCAGCTAGTCATCACCACCCACCGCCAACTCTCGGGTTACTCTTTTTTACCAACGAATAGTGGGATTGACCGTCACATTATAACACCCCCACGGCTGAAAGTGCGAGCATGTTTAGTGTGACTGGAGATTCGAACCAGCGACCCTTAGATTGGGAGTCGACCGCCCTAACCACCAGGCCATGCCTGGCCCATTTTGGATGAGATACATTTTTCTTTGGAAACTAAATTTTGTGAGAAGTTGATTTTGGTGTAAAGACTAGGAATGTGAACATGTTTGCTCAACTCGAAATAATGGTAAAAAGGCAAGAATGCGCTTTTAGTTTTAATTTAGACACATGAAACCCAAACAAAGTAGTGAATTTGACGTGTGATAAGTTCAAGTTCACAGATAAACTTAATGCAAGGATGGCGGGAAATTCAATGAAGTGAGAAACATTCGCAGTAGGTGGACAGTTTTGTCTACGTACCGTTTGTAACAGTCTGGTCTGAAGCTGACGGAGCAGTTGTTCGGCTACATGTTTTCATCGGCTAATGTCGGGCCAACTGGTGACCTCATAGCAGCGCCATCTATCTGGCGTAATAGGTTTCCGTCGCGTATTTGTGTCTGTGTGTGTAACGAAAAGTTTTTGTGTAAATAAAATATTTGAAACTTTCACTTCAACATGGCGTTACACAAACACGCGCTTTCTTTTGAACGTTTGACCAAATAAATGGCGTTGCTCAGTGGTTACCAATATTAGCTGAAACATTTGATGACGCGTGACTGGACGACTGCTCCGTCGTTTGCAGACTCCATCTTGTCTTCTGTGAACGGTACGTGGACAATTTTTTTTTACCTAATCCTGTTGTAAAGATAATGTTTCTTATTTTCTCGACTGTCTAGATTTCCGCCCCCCTAGCACATTACATTCACCCGTGAACTCGAACAAAACCCCATCTCTTGATATTCTTATCGCATGGGCCTCGTTAGTTTGTTCACCTGCGTAACGCCTCCAAACTAACAAGCGTAATCTCGTTCTTTCTCTGATAAAAGCTGAGAACATAATTTGCAGAGTCACAGTGTTATTAGAAAAATATATGTATATATATATATTAATACTTCAACTTCGAGCCATTTTAAGTCGCCCTCTAGTGTAAGAAATATCTATGTACCGATCCCGTTACGTTTACGAACTGCAAGTACTGTTAAAAAAAAACAACAAGCCATTTACATGTCACAATTTTTGAACCGAAGAGGGGTAGTCCTCCAGTACATAGATATATACATGTATATATATACGCTCGTAATGCGAAACCACATAACCTGTCTTTCTTAGAAAATCCCGACAACTCGTCATTCCTAGACAGAAGTAATGGTTAAGGAAACCTTCCTCTGTAAAGAAGATAACCCTAAATGTAACAATACAGTAATATCGTTCCAACTAAGTCTTTGTTTTTAAACATATACTCCCTCTTTGATTTATATATGTGTATGTTTTCTATGAAGATTATTGTTTCTTGTACATTTGTTAACATTTATGAAACGTTTTTCGTGTTTTCGTTTTTATTTCCATTTCAGTTATATGCTTATTCCGAAAGGTCCATACGAAACATACTTATTACCTGTGGCTATCTGCTGTGTCCATAGAGGGGAATCGAACCCTCTGAGTTTAGCGTTGTAAATCCGAAGACTTACCATTTCAGTGCCAACCAGGGTTCCTCAGGTACGACAGACATAATAGTGATCGAGACGCTATATATATAATCAGTTTTCATGGACACCGACTATTATGTTAAACGATGGGCGTTGTTAGTTTTAGCAACTAGTTTCGTGTCGGTCAAGTTCCAAAGTCTCGAGTTAATGCACTGTTGTTGTGTTTCTTCTTTATTTTTATTATATATATATTGTATTTATGTTGCGAGATTTAGGCTGGATGCAATAATACACAGTACAGAGGTGTAGGAGCAAATTAAAAGTAGGGGGGGGGGGCAAGGTTTATTTGACCGAGCGAAGGAAGGGAATGTACGTCACAGGTGTACCCATCATGGCCGGGTCCGGGACTTTTCTTTGGGCCCTGGAAGCTCTTGGGATCTGGATTAAATTTTGTGCATTCTCCTGTTTTTCCTGAAAGTGGTTTTCGTAATTTGATGCATTTCTGCTGAGACATTGAGAAGTGTCCCCTTGCTTTCTACGTCACTGCAGTAATCAGAAACACCACTAACTTGATCTAGTCCAAACCGAAACAATTATTGTTCAAGTTTTTGTGTTTGTAGTTGAGCACAAAGCTACACAATGCTCTGCCCACCACGGGTATCGAAACCCGGTTTCTAGCGTTGTAAGTCCGCAGACATACCGCTGTGACACTGGGAGGGGGCATTTGTTCAAGTTAACTGATGATATAAATAACGTTTTGGTCAATCGACCTGATGAACCTTGGTAAAAAAAAAGACTCCGTTGGCAGTGAATAGAGCAAATATAGTATGACTGACGTATCCTTTACGTCTTTAAGCTCTTATACTTACTTCTTAGTAATTATTGAATCATAGGTTATCACTTACTATTGACTGTGTTTGTGTTTGTTATGGATTTCGCGCAAAGCTACACGAGGGCTATCTGCGCTAGCCGTCCCTAATTTAGCAGTGTAAGACTAGAGGGAAGGCTGCTAGTCATCACCACCCATCGCCAACTCTTGGGCTACTCTTTTACCAACGAAAAGTGGGATTGACCGTCACATTATAACGCCCCCACGGCTGAAAGGACGAGCATGTTTGGTGTGACGGGGATTCGAACCCGCGACCCGCAGATTGCGAGTCGAGCGCCCTCTAGCCACCTGACCATGCCGGGCCTATTTTGTAAAGTAAGAAAGAATTTTAAGGCGGAGGATGCGTTTGTTGCTCGTGTTCACTTGCACCTCTTACTAAAAGCAAAATAACGAATAATAACCATGCCATTACATCTACATTCTGGCATTAAATTTTTCATTGTGAGTAAATGAAGCAAAAAAAACTAACTAACTGAGACTTCTTTCATAAATAAAAAACTGTTATGAAAACCGTAATATAATAAGGATAGAAATGAAACGGAAATAAAATTTTCATATTCACTATGTGGAGCAAAAAACTAATTAGGCATTTTTTTGGTTTAGAAAGTCTTTTATGAAAATTGGAAAAACAAAAGATAGACAATGAATATTTTAATTCATTCTAATTTTCATTTATGTTTGTCACTGAAACACTCCAAGCACATTGTAGGCTTCCCATCACAATCCTTGAAATATTATCATCCACAGTATGGATTACTTTATCTGATGTCCCTTTTTTACGATCGTAAAATTGTGAGATATTCATAATTCTTCTCAAAAAATGGCAAAATTACTCCGAGAAAAACAAAACAATATTATGAGCATTGAGCCCCCCAGTGGCACAGCGGTATGTCTGCGGACTTACAACGCTAGAAACCGGGTTTCGATACCCGTGGTGGGCAGAGCACAGATAGCCCTTGTGTAGCTTTGTGCATAATTAAAAACAAAAACAAACAATTATGAGCATTGAATTATTGTTATCTAAATCATGGTGTGCACTCAATAGAAAGTTGTCAATGGAGTCATTCTGTCATAAAACATAACATAAAACCATAAAATTAGTAACAGTACCTAAGACAAAGTTTACAATGAGGCTTTACGTTTCTATTGCATAATTAGGGATATCATTTACGCCGCGAAAGTGTTAACATGTATCTTTATGATGCCCTAAGATTTGACGTCCGAACTTGAAGTTTCAATGATTTCTTTTTTTGTAAGGGTAAAACAATGTATACTGATTATATTTCTACTACAAGGTTCTTTTTTTTTATCTGTAAATATTGGGGGCGACTGGCTACAGACAGCGAAAGGTAGTAGGAGTTGAGACGTTACACTCAGCTCCTAACCTCTAATTTCATTCTTCGTGGCTCCTAGCCAGTTCGACATCTGCTAAATGGAATATCCCCAACGTTTTTGGGGAACTATGACCACAGATATTTTCCATTATGACTTAATTATAAAGACAAAAAAAAATTCCGTTTTCTTGTCTTTTTTTTTTTTGTAAATCTCATTGTGAACGTTTTGTCTTTGATTTGTATTCATTTCATTATTGTTACATAGTGCTGATCTGTTCGCCTACTTACAATTAGTGTAAAATATAGTACTAGAACTATTGACATATGTCACCGATACTTATAGGATCGCCCACGTAGAGCTTGGTGGGTACATTGAACCTTCGAAGGTGGGATACACCTGATTATACAAGCTTTCTTGATGATATTTCATTCTGACTGCTTAGAAGTATTACTCGTACTATCATTACATGATCTATTCATGCCAGACTCGTGGGTAGGCGAGGTAAGCAATCGCCAATGGTGGCAAAAGTAACGCAATTTGTCACCTCTTGCCAGTGGGCAATGCGTGACCTAATGGTTAGCGTGCCGTACTGTTGGATCCGAGACTCCAGGGTTCGTATCCTGTTACCACAAAAAAAACACTCTGCATTTTGTTGCTATGGGTGCGTTATAAGAGTGACAGTAAAATACCCATTATTCGATCTGACAGTACTATTCAAAGAGTTGGCGGTGGGTAGTGTTGACTAGCTGCTTTCTCTCTAGTCTATAACTTCAAATTTATGAATAGCTAGCGTAGACAGCTCTTATGTATCGTTGTGCAACCCAAAAATATTCAAATTATTTTACAATGACCTTGGAAACACGAACCTTGATACTGAACGAAAGGCTTCGTCGGCAATTGATATAGTGAGTTGACAGATTATTAAATTCCTCTTTCTCATTCATTCATAAGTTCTCATAATAGGTGCAGCAATATAGTAACATTAAATATAAAACAAACTTCCACCGAACTCAACGTGACGTCTTTGCAGCTAGAGACTGGGGGAAGTCAATTTCTTCTAAATATAAACAGTTCGAGGTAACATAAATATAAGCCTAAACGAAGCTAAACCAATAAACATAAAACATTTTAATTAAAATTACGTGAACTGCAGAAGTTGTTTTTTTCTCACGTCCCCTTTAATTTGACTGTTTCGGATTCAAAATAATAGAAGCATAAAATTAATATTTTCAGATCTATCTTTTGTTTCCCACAAGTCATTGCCCAAGAGGCCATTTATTCAATACCAGAATTCGTCTTTTAGTCTAAACGATGAGAAACAAAAAGATTCTCGAAAATGCTACTTGTATCTATAACTTAAGGTTAAGATTTAAATGTCAAAAGATGTCTTTATTTTCCTCCACATTCCCCTTCATTTGTCCATTTTGGATTTAAAATAAATATCACAGGAATGTGGGGGGAGGGTGGCTGATTTATGATATATTTTACATAATATTTTGTAAGCAAGTGAAGGTATACTATCACAAACCAATTAAACACATTTCAAAACTGACAGCTCATTAAAACACTTGCATCATTTCTTTTTATAAAATATATACTTTATTGTCTCATTAAGTAAAGTCAAAAAGATGTTCGGATGTATATAGGATCTCTTTCCTTACCCACGACGACAAAATGTAAATATGTTGATTTAGTGAAGTGTTAGTATTATTCATTAATCTAGTGTTTTTCAACCGGGTTCCTAAGAATATTACCTGTTACTCCCAGGGTTCCTCAACCCAGAAAAGGTTGAAAACTACAGCACTAATCTATCAGTTACTGCCAGATAAGTTGACTTCTTACAGAAATCAAGAAGTAAAAACAATCATCAAATGTTTTACCCACTGTCTGGTGAAGTAGCAGAGATTTAAAACTAAAATTCCGTATTCATAACTTCTACAAAAATACAAGAGACGTAAACAGCACGGTGTTTTGAACAAAAGTTAAAGAAAAAAAAAAAAAACAATTTTAGATAAGCACTTAAATTTCTTTTTCTTTTTGCATATAGCTCCAAGCATTTTAATGCTGGTAAAATAAAGTTTGTTAAAACATTCTTATAAAACAAACTCGTATGAAAAATACTATACTCTTTATATTCATTCTTAACAACTTAAAGTACTAAAAATAAATGACTCGAACGTAGATTAATGACAAAATTAACAATAATAGTAGTGGTAAAATACAAAAGATATGGAAAAAAAAGAATTATCATATTTGATTGATATAATGTACTATTGTAAGATAACAGTTACAAAGTAACAAACTTTGTAAATTTCAGGTGTCTCCCTGGTTACAGTTGCCACGACAACCTAATCTCTTCCAATAAGGTGAGTCTCGGTAGGCGGGTCGATTCTGAACATATATTCTGCAATGTTAAAATATCCCAAATACTCAACATCATCTGGTGTGGTGTCTGTATGGTAATGGCCACCCTCACCATGGTTACTGAAACAGTGGGTGTGTTCTACTCGCAAGTCCAAATCCTGAAAAGAAAAAAAAAAAATAATTTTAACTTGTGTATCATTCAAAATTTAAAAGATACATTTTTCAAAATATTTTTTTCTTCATAACTGTTGATAAACTGAAGAATATTGATATTTTTATTATTATTATTATTATTCTATAGCCAAGTACACCCATCTTAGAAATACATATTCGCAAGTCCGAACTTACTTTTATTCTTACATATCCGCAAGTCCGAACTTACTTTTATTCTTACATATCCGCAAGTCCGAACTTACTTTTATTCATAGAAAAGGGAAACAAACACAACACTTGCAGCATTCATAAAATCAAATGGTAAACACATTTTCAGCATGAATCTCAAGATAATCTAATTAACAGGAACTTTTTTTGTGTTGCTTTACACAGGACTTGATCCACAGCTACACGCAACAGCATCGGTCTATAAACTGAGGTTCCAAACTTATTGGCTTATACGTTTCCACAGATATATATATATATATAACTAATATTTTTCTAATATGTCAAAGGCAAACCATGTCACCTTTACTGACACAAACATTTCACTCAATCAAAATTATAAAGGACAGTCTAAATTTCAACATATTCTTAGTTGTGTAGCACCCATCATTGTTTTTTCATGTTTTACTTGTGTTACATAGAATTTTGTCTATTTTAAAGTTACGTTAATGCTACATAATAAATATGTCTCCATGTTAACATTCCAAAATAAACTTTTTTTCTTAGTGCCGTGTTAACATTTCAAAATAAATTTCTATCTTAACGTCGTGTTAACATTCCAAAATAAACTTCTTTCTTAATGTCGTGTTAACATTCTAAAATAAACTTTTCTTAATGTCATTTTTAACAGTTCAAAATAAACTTCTTTCTTAATGTCATGTTAACATTCTAAAATAAACTTTTGTCTTAATGTTGTGTTAACATTCCAAAATTTTGGAATATTAATACAATAAGGAGACAGAAGTTTATTTTGGAATGCTAACATGACATTAAAAAAGAAGTTTATTTTGAAATGTTAAAATGACATTAAAAAAGTTTACTAAACTTCTGTCTCCTTATTGTATTAATGTTCCAAAATAAACTTCTGTCTCCTTATTGTATTAATGTTCCAAAATACTTCTGTCTCAATGTCTTGCTAACTATATAAAATTTTATTAAAGGCTTCAGGCTATCAAAAAGTACCATCAATTAGTATTAGGAAAATATAAAAACTTTACATAAATATCCATTAAAAACTGACTTCCAGCCAGACCTTCACAAAGTTATTTTGTCCAACTTTAACAATGGAGAAATTTTCTCTCAAGATCATCACCGAGGCATGTTTGATGTATATATATATATAAACAAGTATATTATAAAGTAGAAAAACTACAAAGTAACCCATTTACTTTCATAGACATAAATATATATATTTATTACATCCAAATGTTCCTAAATCTCTAGTAATTAGTGGGATTATAATAAGGTAACAGGAGCTGGAAGTGAACAAGTTCAAATAATTAATAGATTTTTTAACATAGTAAAATGAGCAGCGAGGTTGATTTAAATATTTATTGGCCTGTGGAAGCAGTACAAATATCATCCTGCTCAGAAATGGATGAAAAGCCTCAGGTAACCCTAGGAAGTCCACCAGAATGCAATTCATCAACATCACCACAAAGCTACATTGAACTTCTGCAATAGATCTAAAGTTTGGTATTGGAATTTACTTTGTAGTAAGGATTCATACTGTAAACATAAATTAACAAACATCTTGTATTTTTCTCTTTTAAGAGTATAGATATCTATATTATTGCACTCTTAAATTAAAGGTTAATAAACATTTTTGTTAAACAAAAACAAACTAGAAAAACACTCAGAGAGTGAAACCCCCGTATACAACGTTCCTGACCTTTTACAGCAATCCACCTAAACTATACACTTAAAAGTTTTTACCTTCAAAATTTTACTTCTAAGTAAGTACTTCTCAATTTGTTTGCAAGTTTTTACCATTTTTTCGAAATTCCAATGTGGTGTTGTTATAATGATTTTTTTAAAACTTCAATGAAGTCTTGACCTTTCAGTTACATTCACCATTATTTAACCAACTGATCTTTGGGTGACACTCAAATTAGATGTAATCAGATCAAAATAAACTAGAATTATGTGGTTGACCTTCAACCCTTGACTCATGTTCACTAAAAGTTAATCTTTTGGTTCTTGGGGAACATTAAACCTCTGTACCAAATTTGATCAAAATCAGATAAAAACTTTTAGAGTTGTACTGTTCACACACACAGAGGAGTGAAAACAATACCCTAGTTACCAGTAGACACAAATTTTAGTCTAGACTTACTGGATCATGTGACACAAAGACACTCAGACAGACAAGTGGCGCACTCATGTTGTAAAACTTGAGCCAGTTATTGACGTCCTCGTCGGTCTTCAGGGGAGTTTCGGAAAAGTGAGGCTGAAACAAAACAGAGAACATAAAGCTATGAATTATTAACTATACACTCATGCATGTATAAATAAGTAACTGCTGTAATATCTACACACACACACACAGTGTTATTAGTTCAAAGGCTACTCCATTCCTGCTATTATATAAAATACTATCATGTCTAGAGAACAAATTACGTTTTATATTTTTTCAGTCGTGTGATTTTGAAATGAAAAATGGTAAGCTTTAGAGCTAATTAAAACTCTTATTAATTTTGGTTTTAGACTAGTGTTGAAGTCAAGGGTAATATTATTTTCTAAAAACTTAGAATACTGAAGCCACAGTCATTGAATAATAAATGCTAATATATAGACACAGAAACACTTACAACAACCCATAAAAACCCTTAGGTATTATTACAAATACAAAGTTTAAAATTCATCAATGTTAAACTATTTTAATTTCTTCACAGTTTACCTCAACTAAGTTGTATTGATTGCACAACCATCATCAAGTAATATCAAGTAGATATGAAAACCTTACGTAAGTAATCATTACAAGCTAACTTGTTGGCCGGGACCTTGCTAAGGTTAGCTTGCCTATTTCAAGCAAAAGGTCTCAAGGTCATTACAGAGAATTTGCTTCACCAATATCACCAGAGAAGCCCTAGGTAACCCAGAGAAATCCACCACAATGCACTTCACCAAGATCAACAGCCCTGAGTAACCCTAGGTAATGCATTTCACCCAAATCAAATTTGGTTTACTAGCAGTGTTCTAGTATGATTTCTCATTATCATTTTTGACTAATTCAAGATTGTTTAGCTTAATTCATTAGTGCCACAACTCAAGAAAATGTTTGGATTAGATTTATTTGGAAGAAGTCACAAATCTTTATTTAACATTGCCCCTCATAGACCGAGACGTGTACAATATGACAACAGTGTTCATATTGTCTTGAAAGTAAAGCACGTGCAAGTACATACATTAGTCCAAAGTTTTTAAGTTACATTTGATGAATATCTTGTGTGATAATTTTTTAATTAAAAACAAAATAACCCCTAGAAAATAGAGCCAGCCTGTGATGGTTTGTTTGTTTTTGAATTTTGCGCAAAGCTACACGAGGGCTATCTGCACTAGCCGTCCCTAATTTAGCAGTGTAAGACTAGAGGGAAGGCAGCTAGTCATCACCACCCACCGCCAAGTTTTGGGCTACTCTTTTACCAACGAATAGTGGGATTGACCATTACATTATAACACCCCCCACAGCTGAAAGGGCGAGCATGTTTAGTATGACGGGGATTCGAACCCGCGACCCTCAGATTGCGAGTCAAGCGCCTTATCCACCTGGCCATGCTGGGCCCACCTGTGATGAAGTAAAAGCACAATTCAGTTTATGAATATTTATGTCTGCAGCAGTGTTTTTTTTTATTAGTAAGCTTACATTGTTCTGTTTCTGACTTTTCTAAAGTTACTGAAAAATTACCATTAGTCATAGACAGAGAACATCAGTTAGCAGTGATTGATAATTTTTGAATTCAGCTACATTTCATTATTAGATTTAGACTTTACAAACTTTTCTTAAAGTACACTACTCAGGTACAGATATATATGGGTCACTTCAACAACAAAGAAATTAATTAATTAACAAGATTAATTAACTTGGAAAGAAGGAAAGAATTGATATGTTGAAACTTTTAAGATAATATTTTCAGATTACTTTAGCGATCTCGTAACCAATCCTCTAGAAATTACCTCTCTATTTATTCCTGTACATGCGAAGGTTATTATTTCTTACGTGCTTGCAGTAAAGCTGTATTCAGTGATTTTGATTTTCTAATTCATATTAAATAGTACAATCTATTATGGAGGATTCCCTTATTACAATAATATATCATATACCACATAATAAACTAACTTATTTTTTCCTAATTCATGCCCCCCAGTGGCTCAGCACTAATTCTGCAAGCTTATCACACCAAAAATCGGATTTTGACACCCATGGTGTGTAGCTTTGCGCTTAACAAACAAACCCAACCCTAATTCATATTTAACATTTCATTAATATTTTAGGACTATTGTCATGTTATTTTAGGAAATGAATTATTTAGTCACATGTATGTCTTACCATAACATGAATTTTTGCCTTTCCATTTTTTATTAAAAACGATCCACCCACCCCTACAGGTTGGTCTTTATAGTTGTTCAAGAGTATTTTCCTTATGGCAGTCACAAAATTGTCTGGACCAGTTCGTTTTTTGACATGGATGCATATTACCTATGGTAGAAATATAATATTCAAACATATATACAAGTAAAATACCTTTTTCTGTGGCCTACATTAGAAATTAAAAAAACAAGAACAACAAGAATCATTTTAAATTTGACAATGTTTACATTAAAAAGGAATTACAACTGGAACAATATAGACCATGATCGAGTGCAACATAATCAATTATTATTATTGTATTAGTTGGAATGTTTAATATCTATATTTCTATTACAGGGATTATTTTGCATTTACGAGACAAAATGTATAGATAATATTACAAAAAAAGATTTTTTATTCATTTTTAACAAGTTATGAAAAATAATGTTTTTAATTTGTAATTAGTAGATAATTACATAATAGATTCCAATACCACATTTAGGGTTTATTGAACAAGCACTTTTTTCTTTTACGAAATACTAAAATACTCTAATTAATTAATAATTAGATAATTACTTAGATATTTAGTTTAGTTGTAATTCTCTAGAACAACCATATTTTTTCCTTGTATTCCTATCTAATTTAATAAAAGAACAATAGAGAAATAATAATAATTGCTTTTTTAAAACATTCTCAAGCAAACAAAATATTGGTTGAGCAAACACAATGGTGAACTATTATATAACTGGAATGCTATATGATAACTGCCTGCAAACTCGTTTTAACAAAATAATTAGCCATAAGCTTGAAATGGTGACTCAAACACTGGCTCGCTTGTACCTACTTGGGGTTCGAGTAACCTTAATTCAAAGAACTTAGGCTTAATCAATTAGTACCATGACTCACAAAAATGTAATTAAGGACTCCAATAATTAATTGATTAATTATCAAATTTAGGTAAACACCCAGCTCTAATGTCTATACTTACACATTTCTGAAGTAACAGAGGAAATCTGTATGACTGAAAGCGATACATGAAGTTATATCAAGATGTCAAAAATTGAAGTAGTAACTTCCAAGAATGGTATTAATTTCGTAACATATTTTGTTTTTAACGTTCACCTGTCCCATATAACCTGAGCATAATCTTTGCATGAATACACTGCACATAAAGCTTAATAACTAGTTTTAATTCTTTAAAGCAACCATATTTTTCTTTGTATTGATATCTAATTTTCTAATACAAGAAAAATTGAGAAACAATAACTGCTTTTTTTAAAGCATTCATCAAGCAAACAAAATACTGGTTATACAAACACTGATGAATTATTTGCCTTACAGCAATTACAAATATAATAAAATTCAACTGTGATTTTATTGTACATTCAAAATGATGATCCAGCAAGCTAATTCTTACCGTTTCATTATCACCATAACCTACTGTCATAAGTTGTAACTTATTACTGCAGAGAATATTTCAACTTCCTAAACAATGTGCCACCCAGTGGCTCAGCAGCAAGTCTGAAGGCTTATAATGTTAAGAACTGGGTTTCGATACCTGTGATGGGTAGAACACAGATGGCCTACTGTATAGCATTATGCTTAACCATAAAACAAACAAATTTACATTAGGTTAAAAAATTCAGTCTGCAAATGGCTTTGTAATAATGTGTTCTTTATAATATCACATCATATTACCTTTCCCTGTTGACCCTCAGAAGCAAATAAATTGGCAAGAAGGCGGAAGTCAGTGCTGTCTCTCAGCTTTTCCAAATGGCATTTACCATCCTTTGAATCAAACAGAAAACTGCATTATACAGATTTACTGGATAATCTGTATCACACCAATATGTAGAATAGTTATAGGTTTGCTGGATAACCATATTAATCAGTTTGAGTACAAATGAGCTGTTATTAAGTTTGTTAAACATAAAGATAGTTAAGGAATTCAGATACATTATGGTGAACATTAAATTATTCCAATATAAAAAAACAAAACAAATTTTAATGGTACCTTGTAATGAATGAACGATTGGCCTAGAAATGTTGTCAAGTTAAACATATCAAATGTTGAGGGATTTGGAGAATATTTAAGAGTTATCCATTTTCTGTTAATAATACCGTTCAAAATAATTTCTAACTGTGGATGACCAATGTTTCTACTGCATTACTGCCCAATTGTATAGCACATAATTGCCATTGGAAAAAAAATATATATATATATATATTAAGGTACAAACAAGTTAGAAATAAACAGTCGTAAGAAATTGAGAATATATTAAATTTTTTGAAATTAATTTTCAGATTTTTTAATGTTGTTGTATAACCTACCATCATCAAAAAAATATTTCTGTATAATTTTTTATTTTTACCAATAAGCAGAAATAATTGATTTAATAAACGTTTAAAGTTATTAATTTCATTATCTGTCGTGAGTCTTAAGAATTTAAATAATAATTACCATAGTTTGTTCTCTTTCAAAATAAATTCTTTTGGGCAAAAGGACAAAAAAAGTTTAGATTAAATTTTAACTGTGAAGCTGTTATTCACAATGTAGACAAATAAACAAAAAAGAAAATGAAAGAATATTCATAAAAACCGAAAATTATGTTACTTCTAGAATACTTGTGAAAGTTTTGAAAATTATTGGACATTTGTTACTTCATGAATTTTTAGGCAAGATGTCAAATTCAATTTTCTTGCATTCATACTAACCTCTGCAACTGTTGCAAAATGTGTGTTGTTTTGGTTGTCACCAATATTGATGTTAGGCATAAGCTGAAAAAAAAGAATAGCTGTATCTATTGCTGCTCAAATTTAACAAAACACAACTTTCACATAATAAGTTAAATATATTTGACACTTTTAATAAACAAGAAGAAAAACATAAACATTTGATACACACTATCAACATAATTAAGACTAAATATTAACACAGTAAAACAAAAGGTTTTGGCTATTGTCTCTAGTGCTATATGACACTTATATGCAATTCAATATTTTTATGTAAATTTAAAATAATCAATAAAATTGCAAATTGTTATTTTTAAATTATACAACTAAGATACAGCAAGTCAAATCGTACAATTTAAAGTTCCATCATTTTTTTTAAACACTAAAGTATCTATCTTACCTCACAATTAACTCCGACAAAATGAGAAGGTCCTGCTCCTGCACCGATTATGAATGCATTTGGAAGTTCCACTTGTTTAGCAATAGTCTCTAGATTATATATCTAAAGATAAGCAAACACAAAAAGTATTTATATATCTTTGGCTTATTGTTTCTTCGTATATAAAAGGGTGGTTTCATAAGGTCACCTTTTTTGCTCTTTTTTATAACAACAATGTCGCTCATACTGGCAACATCAACTCCAAGTGTACATAAGAATATGACCCTAAAGAGTACGTGAAATAAAACTATAAGAGACATTATCAACTCTCTTTCTGTCAAACTTAGTTAGTCTCCAACATTTCAACACCATGGCTTCCATAATTTTCATTAATTTTGGTCTGTGGCAGTAGCCATTACTCAGATTAATCCCTACTCTTAATATAACTCATTGACAGTAAGTTATTATTAACTGTTTTGCTACAATTAGGAGTTGAGAACACTTAACTATGAATAATATAGATTGTGTGTTCAAATATTTAAGTTTTTGTGAAAAGCTGGCCTCGTGAAGTCTCCAAGATGTGGACTGACTGAGTGGATGTGGCCAAGATGTGGATTGACCGAGTGGCTGTGGCCAAGATGTGGACTGACCAAGTGGCTTTAATATATGATGGCTAAAAGGTACGAACTTTTCGCATCAAAATATAGTCTTTTTCTGAGAGTTAACTCCCAGTTTGTTATTTCACTAATAGGTTAGGGTAAAACTACAATGAATTAGAAGAAAAACTGTGCTGAATTAACAGTAAAGTAGTACTAAATCAGGAGTAAAAACAGTGTTGAGGTAGGGGTAATACAGCACTGGACTAGATGTTCAAATAGACGTAATTCTGTGCTGAAGGGTGAGACTTTGTTGACTCAGGAGTCTGCCTTCCATCACAACTTCCTGAGATATTCACTGAGACAGGAGCATAGAACAACAATCATTAATAAAAATTTTAACTAGAATAATAATAATAGCAATAATAATCAAATGTAATGTTACCTCATGTACTGATAATTTTTTTACTTAGCAAAAAATTAACACTATAAACCATTTCATATTTTATAAATCATTTATATAAAAGAACACAAAATAAAAACATGCAAGCTGCCAAAAGTAATAAAGTTGTGGCTACAGATTTATTTGTTCACTCTTGGGCTTTATCTATTTATGCAATATTTATGTCATTAAATACCCACCAGTTATGCAGCATTGAAAAACAAACTGTTAGAATTTCCTTAATGAATAGTTTAAGTTTTTTTTTTACTTTCTTCTTGTAAAAAACATTTGCTCTGTCTTGACACACATAAAAGCTCGCTCCATTTTCTGTTTCATGTACAAATTCATAATAACTGTACTTTTTTGTTTTATAATTTATACTACGATTAGTTTACAGCATAGAAAATTACCTATAGTAATAAAAATCCTGTAAATAAATATAAACAACAAATGAAACATAATATAATCAGCAAACTTTGTTAATTTGTTTTTTCTGTTTCCCGTAATGCAGAAAAAGAAAACTTCCTCGTTAAAGGTACGTCTCTCCTAATATAACTATGATAGATACCAAATATTAACTCCCAGCATAAAAAATAATACTATAAAAATAATAATTTTTTTTAGTGGCAACAACACTGGTAGTTTAAAAATAATTCAATTAAACCATTATTCAAATACCGTACCTTTCAAAAATGTTAAGTAGGTTTTAAAGCTAATAACCTAAATATTTTCGAAAGACATCGTTGTTATTTCTACAATCATGGTGAAAAAAAAGCAGAATGATCAAAAGATTGACCTTTGTGGATTAAAAATTACTGTGTCTCTTTTTTTGTGGCTGTGATGTTATATTTAGCAAGCACAATTGTAAATACCTTGTCTTTCTGTGGCAAAGGTATAAGATTAGGAACCCCACCAACATCAGCTAATCGAGGGTGTCCACAGATGCCTGGAATACAATTATAAAGAGGTTACTTGAAGAAAAGTAAAAATTAATTAGATAAAGATTTAGCAAACTGACTACGGACAGGTGTACATCCACACATATATTCTTTTAGGCATAATAACCCTTTAGGCACACCTGTTGCTGTATGGTGACCATAATATAACACGGTTTGAATTTCCTGCTAGAAATATGAGTCAAATGCAAAAAATATAATCTGCACAGATGATGACCTCAGCCACCAATCTATATCCAACATGACATATGTTGGTATTCAAAACATCAGTAATATTTGCAGTTGACAATTGTTTAATTTTTGTGAGAAAACAGACCCAAAATGGCATCAAATTGCTCCAGTGTTTTCACACTTGAAGAGACAATTGAACTTATTCAAGCTGACGATGATTCTGGCTGTGAACCTGATTTATCTGAATATGATTCTGAGCATATTACTGAAAAAAAAAAGTCTGTGCCTAAAAGGTTAATATACTGATTTTGTTTTGAAGGGAATGGCACTTTGTTTTGGTCTTCTTTCTTTTTCACATTTTTTTTTCTTTCATAAAATACTGTGAAGGTCCCCTAGGCACTTTGTATTGCCTAGGACCCCACAGTGGTTAAGGCTGGCAGTGCTAACAAAACTAATCATATAGAAACTCCTTACTTAGTTTCAGTTTTAATGGCACAGTTTTTCTGAATGATGAGCAGATTAATTCAAGTATTATAAATAATAACCATAAACAATCCGATGTTAAAATAAATAACTCATATAGTGTTATAAAAATTCCTAACCTACTTCTGATGTGTTGTGACAGATAAAATTTGTAAAATACTACATTTCCCCAACTTAACCTAATTCACACCCTAACTGTTTTTAATTGTCAAGCAGTCGGTTAACATAGATGTCTGTCATATCTAAGAGCCGTGGTATTGGACAAAATGGCATCATCGGCACTGAATATAACATAGTGTGGTTGACATATCACTATACACCCTTCTTTCATTTCACTTAAAAGTTCTTATTGATAGTTACTTATAACTAAATCATGAGAAAAGGTATTTGTCATAAATCACCTTCTGATGCCAGCATAAAGGGTTCTTTTCGCAAATCTGGGCAGTCAACAACAGACACGTTAACTTCTGCAAAGTTATTCTGCAAGCCTTCAGAGAGAGCTGAAACAAAATTTAAGTTTTAGTTAACACTAACACTGCACAAACAATACGCATTATGTAATGTATAAAGAAAAATCTTGTACACACCTGACACAAACATTTTCTTAAGATTTGTTTGATCCTCATGATGTATATTTGTCTCATAAACATGAGCATTAGAAATAAAACTTCCCACCCAATTCACATGAATGACCATAAGAATTAATTGGATTTGAAGGCTATTACGCCCACTAAGATCACCCACAGGCTCTCTCAACTGTCCTTGAAAAACAATAATATAGTCTTATTCTGATCATAATTTATCTAACCAAGTTTTCAAAAGAATCCAAGCTAAGCATACAAAATATTCAAAAATGTGACCATCTGGATGATCAGTTAATTTTGTCTGAGAATAAGCATACACTTGTACTCTGATCAAAACTTTGTGGCAAGTCTCCCTTTCAGATCATCCTTCCAACCTATCAACCAATCCTTTCAAAATTCAGACTCCCCAGGGGTAGATTAATTACTCTACTAAACCTGCGATGGACTGGAATCTGAGAATCTGAATTCTCTTCTGCTTGTACCACTTGAAACCGGAGTTCAAAAGCATGGTATGGATCTAACTAATTAACTAGCCCTAAGGATATATTTAAAAAAATTAGTCCTATCTAGTAGCTTGATACCATGAACAAATCTAGAGAAATGAACTTATTTCATCTCTGGCTAGTAACAGTAAATTCAAATAAGTTAACAACCACAATCTTCATTTATAAATTCACTGCAAAATGAACAAAAACAGAATTATACTGTAACTTCATTTCAACTCTTGTGATCTCAAATTAAGCTAAGTATTAACACCTAATGAGTCGGCTTAGAAAACTATTGTTGTTCTTAATTTTGCTTTACAATGCTAAATGTCCCACTCTGTCTTTTAGTCTTGGACTAATTTAGTTGATAATTTATTATAAGAATTACAAGGCACTATAGTTTTTTCATACATGCATTTTCTCTTTTCTGACTATTAAGTAAGTAGCACTTTAGGTATTCTTAATATTAGAGCTGGGTAATTGATCAGCAAAATTTGCTAATTGATTAATCGTTCGGCTCAATAGTTAATTAAATTCAACTAATTGATTATTGGCATGAGATTTGGATGTCTGGAATAATCAAGAATAGTAACAGTCAGAAACATTAAATAGTCAATGTACTTGATACTTATAGATTATATAGTTTATATCGGTTAATCAAGTTAATCATCCAACTCTACTTAATACCACTGAAATTTGTGTCTCTTAAATTAAAACAATATCATATATACCCCATTAAGAACATCATTGAGTCTCACATCCCTCAAAGAATTTTCCCAGAGCTCATAAAATCATAAACTATTTGTTGACACAACAATTTGGGTTTTAAATATCATACACTAATGATATAGCCAGTAATAACACCTAAACATTAGTGAACCTGAGAAAAATAAAGGAAGAAAATCAAGAAAGGAGAAAACAAAAGAAGGTGACTTAAAAAAAATATTAGAGAAAAACTGAACAACTATAGGCTAAGAAAGTAGAGGAGAAAAGGTGAAGAACACATTTAAAGAATAACAGCATAAGAACATAAACTGAAAAAAGTAGAAGAAAAGAGGAAACCTAGCAAACATAACCTTAAAACGGATAGGAGAAAATATAAAAACATGACATAGAAAATTTGTTATTATGATACATCATACAACATTGGCAGAAAGTAGAAAACATGACACAGAAAATTTATGATACATCATACAACATTGGCAGAAAGTAGAAAACATGACATAGAAAATTTGTTATTATGATACATCATACAACATTGGCAGAAAGTAGAAAACATGACAAAAAATTTGTTATTATGATACATCATACAACATTGGCAGAAAGTGTAACACAGTTGATTTCCAGTTTTCACGTGCACAGCATCACAATAAACTTTCACAAAATGGTCACTTCAAGTTCGTGAAGATTTAGTCCACTTTAATATTCAAGTGTTTCTATAAAGGAAAAAATAATTTTGACCTAATGATTAAAACACACACATACTGATTTAATGTAATAAATAAACATTCAGGAGAATTATAATAACTCCTGGTTTATAAGATACAAGTTAGGATACTAAACTGAAGCCCTTGGAAGATGAAGAGGATAACATTTTTCTCTGTGAAAGAGAAGAAATAGAGGTGAATTGATTTAGATATTCAAAATGATATGGAGATAACCTGTTTGTAAGTAACTTAGGTTTTAAAGAGGTATAACTACACATCATAACTTGAATATTAAAATTGCTCTCACACACTTTAAAAAACTGTAAAGAGGTTTGTTCTGAAATATAATTCACTTCACTTTAGATTATTATCTTCTGTGATGACTTCCCAAAGCCTTTTTTCAAGGATGTCACTTGTTATTTGGACAATAAAAAGGGTGTGGAGTTTGTGAATTTAGATTTTAAAAAGGTTTTTGATAAGGTGTCACTCAAAAGATTAGCTATGAAAACCACATTGGTTTGGGTTGGGAAGAAAAGACTAGTTAATTAGATTGGAGGAAGAAAGCAAGGGATTGTTATTAGTGGAATCCAGTCAAATTGTACCCTTGTTACTAGTGGAGTGCCTAAGGAGCCAGTGCTTGGGGACTTGTTTTTTCTTTTTCACATTAATGATATTGATAGGAGCATTGTTACTATTGTATTAAGGTTTACTGATGACATTAACCTTTTGGGGTATTTCTAGATGTATTGAGTTATTACAGAATGATTTGGACCAATTGGGAAGTTGTACAAATATTTAGTAAATAACCTTCGTAATTTCAGTAAGTAGCATTTTACATAATTTTATGATGTTTCCTGAAAAATAAAGGGTGCGTTTTACTTTTCTCAAGGGTGGGTGTGCAGGGACAGTTTTCAAGGGCTAAACAGTCCTAATGCTATGTATCACTATCAGTACGATTAGGAAAGTACTACAAACGATGCCCCCCCCCCCCCACCGCATAAAAAGTAATTGAGACCCTTACATTTATTCCCCTCGGCGGCAATTCTTAAGTGTGTCAGGCCCTTGGGGCCTCCTTTCGGCTCCCCCACCTCCGCGAAGTTCGGGGGGGGGGGAATACTTACGCTACTGGTCCCTACGATTAGTAAAGTAATATATGTTGTCCTCGAGTAACACGTTCGTCATGTATACATGAATCACGTGCTACTACCGCAGTGAAACTAACTTACTATTATAATATTACTACAGTAATTCATTTGATATAGTTTACGCCAAAACTTGTTTGGTAACAATGGCATGAAATATCACTATATAAAAAACATAAAACTTTACGTAATACCTTCTGAAACGCTTCTCAATGACGGAGTGTGTAGTTTTACCTTATTCACGTTCATCATATTTACAGAACGATAGCAGCATTAACCACACTGTTTCCAATCAAGATGTTTTGCAATCTTGACGCTCTGCATAAAAATCGCGAAGAGTAAGTTGGAAATTCTGAAAAAAAATGCCCCAGTTTATTCAAAACCTTTTTTATCCATAAATTTTGAACATTGTTTCTATTTTACTATAAATATAACCCATTTGGTTATTTTTTACTCAAATATGAAAAAGAGGAATTAAAAAAAGTTATGAAAATTACAAAGTAGCATACACAAAACAGGTAGTTTAGTTTTGAATAATACAGTTTGCTGTGAAGCGCAAAGCTACACAATGGCCAATCTGTGCTGTGTCCATCATGCTTATCCGGTATTTAGCATTATAAGTCTTAATACTTACTGCTGAGTCATTGGGCTAAATAATAGTCAGTTAGCAATTTTTAAAAAGCTAGTTTCAGTATATTTAATATGTATTTCTTTTCAGCCCATAACAACACTAGATGGTTGCTCACCCGTTTCATTTATCTGTTCTTATTTTTAAATAACTTTGAAAAAGTGTCCAGTTACAGTATTTAAGAAGGAATAGAAAATAATATATTTTCTATCAATTTGCTTGTTTTCGAATTTCACGTAAAATTACTCAAGGGCTATCGGCGCTAGTCGTCCCTAATTTGGCAGGGATGGACTAAATGGAAGGAAGCTAGTCAACACCACCAACTCTTTTACCAAAGTATAATTGGATTGACCGTCACATTATAAGATCCCATGGCTGAAAGAGGGAGCGTGTTTAGTGGGACTGAGATTCGAGCTCGTGACCCTCAGATTGCGAGTCGAGTACCCTAACGACCAGACCATGCCACGCCCCTTTTTTTATCAACTTCAGTAAATTGCAGAGCACCAGTAGGAAAGTGTAAAGAAAGGATATATCTTATGTTGTAAAAGAAACAACATTTCTACCTTAAACAATTAACGTTAGAAACTATTAGTGTCGGCCTTTTTGGTTAATTTAATCAACGTTTTATGTTGAAATCTATGTTAAAATTTGTATTTAGTTATTTTCACTTAATGGTTTCGGTGTACCCATGCAACTAGTAAAAACATACTGTTACGTCTCCGTTTGTTAATTAACTTTTCGTAACTTCGTTCCGACAAAACTTTAGCGACACAAGTCCTTACTTAATAAAACTGGTTTATTCTTTCTGAATATAACCCCACGATACACTTGATTTCAACATTCGCGCTAAAACAAACGCTTTAACGAACGTTAACTTCAA